TTATGTTAAATATTTAACACTGTTAAGCATTTTGTTAAATATTTATTTTATTTTATTTAACGCCAAGCAGCAATATACATAAGAATATAAAATATAGATTATTAAATTTATCAAATAAATTTAATCAAGTGATATTACATTACATGATGGTAAAAGGAGCAAATAAAAATGAAAAATTCTAAAATTCTAAGATATAATTGCAAGTACTGGGTGGGGAAATAGCAGAATTAAAAGAAAAAAGATTATCGATTATTTAACATAAAATCTTTTACCCAAACTTATTTTCACGCAAATAAGAGAAAATTTTTACTGTGTATGCAGTTTTTACATGCATCTGGTTAATTATTACCCGGAAATTCTAAGGTGGCGAGATGAATTTTATACAATTCACGCACAAGTACTTAAGCTTAGTACGCCTGTTAAGCTAGCGCGGTGAAATAAATAGAACCGCTCCTATTTAGAATAAGTAGAACCGCTCCTATTTAGATTAATAATAAATTTTATTTGATCCTGGAGTTCTAAGCTCCTTCAGGACCATCAACAATACATAAAGTTAATTATTTACAAGTATACATTTGATACAGCATTTGCAATACAATTTGAAAATCAACATTAATTAATAGCTATTATCTTAACTTATAAGATCAATGGTAATCATATTGATTGCAAGAAGAAATTAAAACAAGCTTGCTTAAAATTTTCAAAGGTGTCAATTTCTGTAATATCTCCCGGTAATGAATTCCAAATTCTTATGCCATGAATTAGGAAAGAATTTTCATAGATAGCAGATTTACTTCTCGGTAAACGCAGATAGTCATTCCTGACGTCACCTCTCCTCAATGCAATTGGCAAAAATTCTAATTTTGATCTAAACAATTGATTATAATTTAATTTAATTTCTTTATAAAATAAACAAGCTATGAAATAATTTCTTCTCGCGTTAAGTTTTAACCAGCCCAATTCTTTATAATATGGAGTAGTGTGCTCGAATCTCGAAATTTTGAAAATATACCTAATGCAAGAATTTATTTTACGCTGCAATCTATTCTGTAATTTGCTTGATATATTCGTGTAAGCAGCACAACAGTAATCGAAGATGGGAAAAATCAAAGTCATGACCAATTTTATGCGTAATTGTTCATTAAAAATTTCGTTATTGATTTTCAATTGCGCCAACGTTTTCATAGCACGATTGCATACACTTGCGACTTGATTTTCCCATGTTAAAGTATTATCAATGATGACGCCCAAGTATTTATTTAACCGTTTTAACATACGGAATCACGTGATCACTCACAACTACATTTTGGGCATTTTTACAATAATCACTGTTAATTTTTTGCCTACTTCCAAGAATAATAGCACTTGTTTTTAAGGCATTTAATTTCAGACAGTTGAAACTACACCAATCGACAATCTTTTGTATTTCATCATTCAGCATAATAACATATTCATTTATTTGCGACAGGCAACATGAAGTATATATAATTAGATCATCTGCATAGAACAAATATTGACAATTTAATCGCTTAGCAAGATCAGGAATGTACAGAGTAAAAAGTAAAGGACCGAGCACACTACCCTGGGGTACGCCGTTCTGAATATCTTTCCAAGTCGATTTGTTGTTGTTATAATAAACCGACTGCCTTCTCTGAGTCAAGTAAGACTTTATCCAATTTATTATTAAGTCTGAAAAGTTCATATGTGATAATTTATGCAATAATATTTCATGGTTTACTGAATCAAATGCCTTACTTAAATCAAAGAGGACAGCTATGGTTATTTGAGATTCATTCATCGCAAAACGTACGTCATCGCAGAATTTAACTACCGCAGTCTGTGTATTTAAACCTTCTCGAAAACCCGTTTGATATTCATCAATGTAATTATTATCAGTAATATATTTTACAATTTGATCATGCACACACCTTTCTAACGCTTTTGATAAATTGGATAATAGTGAAATCGGCCGAAAATCAGTACAATCAGAGGCATTAGGCCTTTTCGGGATTGGTATTACATGCGACAGTTTCCACTCCACCGGGAATACCCCCGTAGTTAAAGACTTATTGAATAATTCTGTGAGTAGCGGCAATAGGAATGGCAATGTACATTTGTATGCTTTAATTGAGAAGTTATCGGGTCCTACTGAATTTGACGTTAAGCGCATTACCGATTTTTTAACAGTGACCGAATTTAGTTCTGAGAAATTAAACACATTGTCATTACTTCTTATCAATGCAATATCTTGGACATCAACAGGTCCGTTATGAAAGCTACCTGACTGTATGAAAAAATCATTTAAGTCATCCAAATCTATTCTTATTACCGCTTCTGCACTTTTTCGTTTCACTAAGCCTAATTTTCTTAAGTCATTCCACATTTCACGAGAGTTTTTTGCTCTGTGTAATTGCTGATCAAAGTATCTTCTTTTCTCCTCACTTATCCGATTTTTCACCAGACGCCTTACATCTACATATTCCTTATATGCGTAGCCGGTCCTTTTAAATATTCGATAAAGTTTGTCGCGACGGCTCTGAAGTTCTTTAATTTGATGTGTGAACCAGGGTGCTGGTGGCCGACGCGGGCAAATAGTTTTCTCTGGTGCCACGGTGTCAATAACTTGGCTTAGATGTTTGTGTAGATAGTTATTCATTTCATCCACGGTCTCAAAAGATCTCATTGTATCAATATCAATGTCATCACACAAGTTTTGCAGCATGTCGTCGTCAACCGCATTCCAATTTCTATACGAGAAGTTGTTTAATCGCTGTCGACCAACTTTATAATTATATGTTAGGGATATCAATTCATGGTTTGACAGAAATGGCTGCGAAGACTGTTCTGAATAAAAAACTTTTTTATGATCGTCAACAATGCAGACATCTAGCCATGAATCCGAATTTTCCAGGTGATGAGTTGAATGGTACTCAACAATTTTCAAGTTAAAGTCTTCGCAGAGACAGCGAAGTTGATCCCCGTAAAAGTTCTTCTTACTTAGATCAGAATTGAAGTCACCTAGTATAATAATATTCCTATAAGATGCCGTGATAGCCTCGAGTTCGTCCTCGAGATCATCAAGATGACTGGTATTTGGAGGTTTGTACACAACACCGACGACAACCTTATCCCTCGAAGTTCCTGATATTTCTACGAATATATACTCTGGATGTTTATCTTCCGTGTTAGCTGAAGATAACACATGTTTGGATACCAGGTCATTCCTAACGTAGAGAGCAACTCCACCACCACTTCGTAGATGTCGATCATGACGGTACAGCATAAATGATGGTAACAAAACAAGATCGTCAGATATTAAATGGTTAAGCCACGTCTCAGAGACTGCAATGACGTCGTATCTATGTGTCCTGAAGTATTCTTTAAATAACTCAAAATGTTGTTCGTTTCTAAGTGACTGGGCATTGATGTGACATAATTTTAGGGAATTTTTATGATGTCGATGCACTGTAGTAGGAGAAGAATCAGGAATCCTATTTGCTGATGGCGAAGAAGGAGCTGCGAGTTGTTAGTTAATTAAGCCCTCTAAAGGGCTTAGCCCTGTCGAAGGCAGAAGCTTGACTGGTGGTTTGTCGTCTGCATATCTTATATTTACTAAGGAATGAGAGATCCAAATATTTTTCAGCGGAATATTTGGGTATCTTTTGCGCACGTCTTGACGAAGTTTATAAAGCGACGGTGGATGTCTTCGATGCAAGTAAACCACTGCTCCTGGCAATTCGGCATCTCGTAGCAATTCACCTACTTTAACCGAGTTACCTTTAATATTACTCATAAGGCTGTCAACATGTCTCTGGTTATTAAATTTCACACGAATATTGCGATCATTTCGTCCGTGACGACCGAGCCGCTCAGCTTTAACGATTTCATTCTCTGCCACCGAGACCTTGAGTTTCTTCGTAAGCTTAGTTATAACATCAGTCAACTTTTCACCAACTGATTCAGGGATGCCACCTAGAATAATCTCATCAGCTAGCAACTGCGACTCTAATTGGAGTGTTCTAAGCTCAAGATTGCTATCAACAATACTTTGAGCCGCAGCTTTTACTTCCGCAACAATATTATTGTCAACACCTGGCTTACTCTTTTCCACCTTTAAAACGCGGTCTTCTAACAATTTAACGCTTTTCTTTATTCCACTGTAATCAGTAGCTAGTTTATCAATTTTCTCCTGCATTGAGTCAATTTTCTTCGTGAAAGCATCTATTTTCTGTTCAATATTGTCTATTTTATCTATTTTATCTAGTTTAGCATTTATACTCTCCAACGTACTTGAATAATTGATAGGACACACTGGACACTCCCCAACTATTTTTCCAGCTGCACGCGCTTTATTTGGTAAATTGCAGCGCGTCTTGACACAGAAGTCATGGAAATAGTGTTTACACTCAGCGCCAGTTTGCACGAGTGCACTTGAGTCGGTAACATTTTTCATACAGAGCGCGCAGCAGGCAGTCATTTTGTTACTACTAGATGGCAGCAGATACAGAAATTCTAAATTCACGAATTGTATATATATTTTCTAAATGAATGTCTCTAACCTCGCTGATAATGACAAATATACTTTTATAATTTCAGAATAGGAGAACCCGTATAATACGTAAATTATTATTACAATATGTTCCCCGATTTTTAAGCCACAGTTAGGAACAAAATTTAACTTATAATAATAAATCTAAAGACAGATATGGCAAAGTAAAAACACTGTGAATAAATTACGTCCACACTGTACAACTGTATACTGTATACTGTAAATAATTAAATATAAACCAGACCGTAAATATAAATAATTAATAAGCTAAAAGTAATTTAATTTCATGAGTTTACTTTAAATCAGGTCATTGATGATAATAATAATTATTAAATAATTGAATGTAGATATTATTCTATTCATTGATTTTAAGAATAAAAAAAAATTCTCAGTCGATAAAAAAAATTAATAATAGTAATTGAAGTATACTAATGAAATTAAACGAAAGATATTAATTTGCGGATAGCTTACCATTCTTACTCTCTTCCATGTACAAACTTGTCCTCTGAGACCGTCTACGATCAGAACCGTACTTAACTCTTGGCTCTATTCTCTGGGCTGATACATATGTGGGAGTTGTAAGGTCTTCTATGTATTCAGCTCTAGGCGTGTGAACACGCTTGCGGCAGATTATTACACCAATGATGATACCAATACCGACTAAAATCGCAGCAGCACCACCTTTAACATTTATATTATAATTTTACTTCAACACAGATATATGATTTGATTTATTATTTTTAAATAAGTAAAATCATCTTCCATTACAATAATTTATTAATTTATAATCCAATAAATCTTTATTTTTCTTAACTTAAAAAAAGTGTATCGTTATCTCAGATGCGAAATTTCTATTTTATCGGACTATTTTTATGTCATAGGCGATTAATATCAAACGAAATAAATTCTTCATGAAATCTAATTTGTAGAAGTATTTCATAAGTAAATGTATAGCTGTAAGAATACTTTATGCTCGGTATAAAACAAGTAAGAAGATTTTCGTGTCACGGTACGTAATTTATCATAAGAAATTATTCATTACTTTGTAAGGATACTTTCAAGTCAACTGATTTTATTAAAAATTTTGTAAAGTATAGAAGAAAGTTTTTAACGGTCTGCTGTAAATAAATTCTGAAGTGATGAACTTCAAGTTATATACATTATGAAAATTTCACATCTATATGTGATTCGTGAAGGTCACTTAAGATTTATAAAATTTACAAATTTTTTGATTTAGGAAGGAATTTTAAAATAATTCAAAGTGGCTCTTTAAATTGTATCTAATTATTCTTAAAAATTAGAAAATAACTTCAAAGGGTTATTTTTCAATTAGATTTCTGATTTTTATTTGTGTTTCGTGCTTTGTTTCTTTTCTTCAATCTCTCAACTTTTAGGAAAAATGAAAAGTTCGTGGATTTTCAGGTCAGAATTTACTGCAAAATATTTTAGTCACACTATTTTGACAATTAAAAAATTGTAATGGAGCTTAAGAATCAAAATATCGATTTGAAATTTTAAAAGCGTGCATAGTTTTCAACCGAAAAAATAATACAATGACGAAAAAGAAAATTAATAGCGTAAAAAAATTCAAATTTTTATCATTTAAAAAATATTTAAGAATCTTGAACTACCCTTAAAAATTGTTTTTTCAACTGATCTTTGAAGAGGGCTTTTAAAACACATATCAAAATCAAATATGAACACAGGCCATATCCGGAAACTTTTTTACGGCAATTAAATTCGATCTAAATTAAAAAAAAAAAAAAAACGTGTAGTATCTATTTTCAGACAATTTGTTTACTGATCTTCTGAGAAAAAAAAATCCTAAGAGTTATGAGCTGGTATAGGTGGGCGTTGAAAAAAGGGAGATGATTGAATCCCTCATACGTGGTGATGTCATTATATTACATCCGGGACCGAAGAAAATAAACAAAAAAACAGCCGAGTTTTTCACGGATTAAAAACTTCCAATTTTTAACTTGCGTATAAGAATTAATTTAACATCAAAAAAATTAAAGAAAATAAATAAATAAATGACACATTTATAAAAATAATTCTCGATGTAATAAAAATATTTTAAGTACAACTCAGAAGCAAGCACAGTCGTAAGAAATCTCGATAAATTGACCTTGTCAACTACTTGAAGCGAATCAATTCACTCAAACTACTCGTACGTTCGCTTTTTCAGTTCAATCTTAAATAAACTCAGCCGAATGCTGTACTGTTTCTTTATTTTTCATTTTTAACGTTTTTACAATTTTTATCATCTACGATTGCTTGCAGATCAATTGCTCTTCTTCGCATGGAAAGTTATTTTAATAAAGAGTTCTGTTATTTCAGTCAATCGTAAACTTAAAATTCGATTTAAGATATTGAAATTATTTTATAAATAGAAAATATGTATAAGAAAAAAAAAACATTAAGCCATTACTTTATAATATAGTTCTGAATAACAGCAATAAAAACTTACCAATAACACCAACAGTGATGAGAAAGTTTTCTAAATTACTCCTTGGAATGATATTTTGCTTATTATCGATAACAAATTCACCTGATACTTCCATGTTTCTTTCAAGATCAGTCCCGTAAATTCTTACATTGCGAAAAAGTTTTGGTTGACTTCTTCCATGTTTGTTGATAGCATAAACAGCTAGTGTATAGTCATAGCCAGGCTCTAAATCGTTAAGTTGAAAAGTCGGTCGTAAATTTTCCGTCCGATAAATAGGCGGAGCCTCGCCCATCTTTCCTTGGTCACTTTGGGGCGTTTGAAGAGTCTGTGAAGTTTGGAGCAATTGCGTCTCTACCATGGAGCCACGTACTTCCAGCAGGAAGTGCTGAGGTAAACCACCGTCCGAGCCGGGGATGCAATTGACTTCAAGTGCGCTACTCTCATTGTGAAGAGTACAGTCTATTGGAGATTGTGGTGCTTCTGTAAGTTAAAATTAATTTTTTTCCTTGCCTTTATGAATAAACACCATCAGGTAAATTAATTAATCATTTTTTTTTTTTTTTAGTATTTTAATTAATCTTTCAATGCTACTATCAACTTTCTTTTAAATAAATATTATATACTTTTATAAAGTTATAATTCGTTAAATTGTTAATTTATTTTGCATTTTGGCTAAATAAACCCGAAATTTTTAAATTATCTTTTGTGAAACTTTAATAACTTTAGTGTTAGAAACTTGGTCGTCTCATGCTGGTAATCACTAATAAATTATTTACGAAAGCATCTTTAAATATTACCGCAGAATGCAAGAAGGTTTAAAAAAAGTGTGTATACTTATAAGAGCTTTTTACGCTTTTTCTCCATCACACAGCATATATGATAAAAGAGATTATAGTCAGTGGGACATCAGGAGTATACATTACTCACAGAATAATGCCAGTGTAAAGACTGAATATCATGTGATAAAGTGTGTATAAATATTATTAAATTTATTACTTTGATGTTGGTGAAGCTAGATAATTTGAGCTAGCGGAAATTAATTGTGAATTAAAACCACATTCTATGAGCAAATAGGGCAATTTAGGGTAAAATGAGACGGATTCAAAGATAAAATTTTTTGCTTCTTTTAGTGTATGCTTTGAATGAGTTATGCGTCGATTCAACTTTATTAATAATTCCGATAGATGGCAGTAATGTAGGGGATACAGCAATTGCATTTTTGGTTTGATTAACCTTTCAGCACCCACGTTATGAGAATTTTACTCACGCTCGGTTTCAATCTCAATTATTTTTTTTAATTCAAGTGGAAAGACTACTTAAAATTTTTTTTACCTTCCAAAAATTTTATATTCTTTTTAAATGTTTATTAAAAAATTACTTATTTTCATTATAAATAAAAAAAAAATATTTTTTTTTGAAGACTGAGATTTTTTCTCATGGCGAGAATATTAAAGGTTGTTAAAAATCGAGCTGTTCGGCTCCTTACGGCGTAGATCGGCTCTTTTCGGTAAGTGCTCCGCCACCATATTTGTTTTGATCGTATGTTAATTTAATGTGAGATTTTTTCTCATGGCGAGAGTAAAGAAGGTGAGCCGAATAACGTGGGTACTGAAGGGTTAAAACATCCCAATGTCTTAGGGCCAGTTTTTTAATCCGGAATAAAATTTTATCCGAGATAAAAGTACCGCCAATAAAATAAAAAAAAAAAAATAAATAATTTAGCGACGTGATATTGCTCTCAATTAGTTCTCCATGAATTTGGTCGTTTATTTAAATAAAAATAAACCTCTAAACTTAACTTCACTAAACTTAGATTTCCTGAAAATTTAGACCGATTCGGGCCGATAGATTTTGAGAAATTTGAAGAAATCTCCAAAAAAATAGGAAAAAATAGGAAAAAAATTTTTTTCAGAAGTGGTTTTTTTGGAATAACTTTTAAACGGCTCTACCGATCGATTTCAAAAACTAATCAGCTCTAAACCTTAAAAAACCACGTCGATTGCCGCCAATCCGGTCAAAATCGATTGATTCAAAATCGATTCAAAAGTTATTGCGATTTGAAAATAAAATAAATAGCGTTTCATCAAACTTTTGAGCTCGAAGAGCTCAAAAGCATACAAAAGCTATTTTTTTGAGCTCGGAGAGCTCAAAATAATACACAAATTGTATTTCGAAGAGCTCTAAAACGTCATAAGTGCAATTTCAAGCGTTTAGGTATAGAATTGGCGGGAAGTTGCAGGGATGGCCTTCAGGGTCAACCGTATTCCTAATTTTTTTCTAAATAACCAACAAAAATACTTTACATTTCGATTTTTTTTTCAAAAAATTTATGTGTTATTGTGCAAGCAAAATTTTGTTTCACCCATAAGTTAAGACGATGAATTCTTGGAATAATAAAATAAACAGTCGAACTTTTCCGATTCTAGAAAAACTTAAAATTTAATCTGTTTACCAGACACCGGAAAGACAAATTGCTTTTTTCAGTACCCGTGAAAAAATTTTTATGTATGGCCATTTATGAAAATTGGTCATATTAGACTGTATCTCTATACAGTTTAATATGACCAATTTTCATAAAATGTATTGTAGAGTATCTACAATATTCAAACTAAAAAGAGTGTTAAATATCTTCGACAGAAGCCACATAATCGCTGAATCGTCTCTTCACAAGAGAGTTCAGTTTTAAGTGTTCATTTGAGATTTTTTAAGATAAAATCATTTCTTTTATGTTTTTATCCAATTAAGTTCAAGAAAATGAAAACAAAAAAATATCACATTCTATAGATATAAAAACAAAATCTGAATCAGTTGAGGCAAAGCAAGGAATTATAAAATAACCTCATTTAATTAAATTTGTATAATTTATAAAAAAATTTAAGATTTGAAAACTATCAATAAAAAGATTTTAAAAATTGATAAAAAAAAATTTTTTTAACTTTTCTGAGGAACTTATCTGATAATAATTTTTAGTACAATAAATAACTAAAATAATGCTCATGTGACACGAGATGTTAATTGACGTACACATTTCTAGCAAAAATTTCAAATTATTTTTTTATCTTCATCTATATTCTGATATGACCATAGACGAAACTTTTTCACAGGCAATAATAATATTGTTTAACCCTTTAACGCCTAAGTTAGACTAAGTGAGCCGCATGGTACCGGAGTAGGGATCACAAATGACGTGCGCTTACTGTCCCCACTACTTGAGTTTACGGGACTCGTGCTCGGTCAGTACTGTCTAACAGATATTAAATTAGTTCTGTTGGTGCCCCGTTTAAAAACATTTGTCACCTGAAGCGTTGTCAAATCCTATTATTATTTAAGACTATAGTAAGTACGCTACTGCTCATGAGAGCACACGGACACTCACTAACGCAGATACGGGCCGTCCACTAGACAGTCCGCAAAGTGGGGGAAACACCCAGAATCCTCAGAGGGTTAATTTCGATCATATTTTGATTGTGGTTAGTTTTCTCCTTCCCTGATTATGATTAGTTTTCTCCGAAATTCTCATAATTCAAAATAATTAATAATTATCTTAATTTAATAAAAAGAAATATTTCAATTTAGAACTTATTTTTTCTACACGAAATTCACCGTATTCGTATAAAGTTATAGAGTTCCATGGTTATAGTTTGTAATTTCAAGTATTACCTGTGTAATACCGAGTAATTGTATCATACGCTGTTCTAACTTTCTTTAAAGCGTTTCCAATTTTTAATGCAGGTGATTAATTAAAAAAAAAAAAAAAAAAAAAAAAAAAAAAAAATTAGCTTAGAGAAAATAAAAACAAAGTGTTCAACTAAAGTAACAAGGTAATTATTTTAGTTGTTATAAAAATACAAAAAGGAAAGTACTTATTGAATAAATAATAAATAAGCTTATTATTTTGAGTTATGAATAGATTATTATGAAACTTACTTGCAGGTACAATGTTGAAAATACAAGGTGTTCTTTGTCTTCCTACGCTATTACTAGCCCAGCAGCCAAGAGTGCCGTAATCACTCTCAATTAAAATTGTATACTCCAAAGTACTAGTGCGCTCATGATTTCTTGGACGTGAATTTTGAATCGGCAATACGTCTCCCTTTGTGCCGTTGAAAGTCCAAGAAAATCTCACTCCATCATTTGGAGTTGCTTCAACTTCACAGCGTAATTTAACTGTTTCGTCGAGTAATGCAACAACATTATTATATTCAAATCCGACTTTGCATCTTGGAGCATCTAATAAACAAGAAAATAGTTTCAATATTAGTATTTTCATCCGATTTATTAATAATCGCATTTTAAAGTCATTAACAGATTATACACTGAAAAAAAAGTTTTCTACTCGGCAGCATCTTCTGTATAGTGACTAGATAGTAACAAGTGGATCGTTACGGGTACAATCCGTACAGCTACGAGTAGCAGTCTATAGATATTGACCGTCACGATCTATTCAGTGCCTCTCTAGACAGCAACTTGTGGATCTGGATACTGACAGTAGCGATACTGTATAGTGCGGAGCAGAAAACTTTTTTTTCAGTGTACTAATTATGAAATTTTCTTCTTATCTTATTGTTAAATAGGATTAGTTAGCGCAAAAAACAAATATCTTTTTCAAAAATTTTTTTTTTTTATGTAAAGTCATAAAAATACACTAATTACAAACATAAAAGATTTTGTTCTCTTTATTTTTCAATTTAGTGCAAAGGATAATATTTTGCAAGCTGGTAATAAATGCTCTATTACATTTTAATAATTGCTCAATGTCGAGTTTATTCTAAAACAGTTGCATCGGTTGGAATCAATTTATTATCTAATCGATGGAGTCTTTATCTGTATCCTAGCTTTGGTAAGCTACCCAATAAATTTAAAGCACTGTTTCCAAAGTAGAATTTCTGTAAATCTATTTTGTTTGCACTACGAAATAAAGTTCGACTCCTCTAAATATATAGTTTTATTTAAAAAATTACGATCTTAATGAAACAAATTCTCGATAATGTTATTTTTAGTAGTATAGACAAGTTTAAATGATACAGTAAAACTTCGATAACGTAAAAATTTTTCTAACTTAAATTTTTGTGTTCCCTTCCCTTCAAAGCTCTAAAACTTTTGACACTTTATCGAATAATTTGAATAATTACTCTTTAACAAAAAACAAACAAGTTATTTCTATCAAATAAAATTATCTTTAAGGAAGAAAAATTCCTTATTTCAAGAAATATTTTGCTTAATTCTAGCGAAAGGAATTTCTATTCAAATTCTGTTTATAGGATGTTTAATTCCCTGCAAAAATATGTCACGATCATCCTTATGAGATAATTCATTGTTAAATTACAAAATTTTGTCATAAAAAAGCACTTAATATTAACATTTGAAGAAAATCTAGTTTAATCTAATTTTTTAATATATAAACTTGGTTAAATCAAAATTTGAACTTTCTCTAAAATATTCTTTGACTTTAATAAAAAAATATTAAATTGGAAAGTTCAAACACGTGCATGTTATTACAAACCAAAAATAAATTATATCCGTGCGCAAATAATTATCGAGAGTAGAGCGGAACCCGAATTGATCCTTTGTACTTGACTAATGCGATTATTTTTCAATAAATTTTTACCTAAAAATATTTTTAAGCAAGTTTGGACTTACACTTCATGTAGATGAAAAGTGGTTGACTTCTTGCCTCTCCAACATCATTTTTAGCGTAACAAGAATACTCTCCCGAATACTGAAGACTTAAGACTCTTAATGTTAAAGTATTTGCAGCTATTAGGATTCCTCTTGAAATATCATGTTCTAAGCGAGTATCCTAAAATTAACAAACAAACATTCACTTTCAATTTTTTCTCACTATTCCTATACAGAAAGCATTAATTGTAAAGCTATTTTCATGACCTATTGTATATATAGAATGTCGTTATTCATGCCATTTTGGTCAGATTGACTAGTAGATATGATTCAAGCCCATAGATGGACGCTTTTCATCTTCCCTTATTTTCGAAAGATATTCTCTCTTCCAATAATTTCGATGGATATTCATCGAAATTATTGGAAGAGAGAATATCTTTCGAAACTAAGGGAAGATGAAAAGCATCCATCTATGGGCTTCAATCATATCTACTAGTCAATCTGACCAAAATGGCATGAATAACGACATTCTAGAAAGCATTAATTTTTTCTCACAATATTAAAAAATGTTCGTTGAATGCAGTTTTGGTATTCGAATAAATTTTTTAATTTTCTAAATAAATGGATTTAATAATCATAAAATCGCAAATAGTTATTTAACCTGTATTCAGTGTAACTTGGAATTCAGTCAAGTTCATATTTAAATTGCTTAGTCGATAGTGACGATTAAAACATCCGATCAATTTAACTTGAATAATAATTAGTATTTACATTAAAATTTGCATGTGTTAATTTAATTAACCATCGATGGAATACTCACTCAAGTCAATTATTTACATACAAATCCAATAGTTGCATAAATTGTCGATACTCTGAATCGTAATAATTTCAAATTATAAATAATGATATGCATGAAAAATAATGAAGCTTCAAATTACTTATTTTTACAATTTAATTTATTGTATTAACATTTTAAGTCGATTAGCGTCTTGAATATATATCATATATCATTATTTATCTGTCCTAATATTTTTACATATGGCTCGAAATGGCCAATTCTCATGTGAAACCATATATGTACATATCTGGCATAACAAGCAAAATTCGCGAGGAATTGTAAACGTATTATACATTTAATTACAATAGCACTTACAATCATGCAATTGTAAGAACTGAACCCCACGGAAAAATTATATATCCTAGAATATATACTGGGAATATATCCTAGAATATACTCTAGAATATATGCTGGGATATACGAAAATTCGCCGAAAAAATATATGCTAAGATATATGTGGTAGTATATATCCCAGTATATATTCCGGATATATCCATGGATATATATATATTTGTGCTCATATGTGTCCCGTTGTACGTAAAATTTTTTTTGAGATCTATAGTCTGGTCCATCGTTAGATCTACAGTCTGGTTCATAATCAATGCACATAACACATGCATATATCTTAGAATATATCCCAGGATATATTCTAGGGTATATGGTAAGATATATTCGAAAATATATCCTAAGATATATTTTTCGGCGAATTTTCTTATACTCAGCATATATTCCCGAATCTATACTAGGATATATTCCCAGCATATATTATAGGATACATAATTTTTCCGTGGGGGGATATACAAATTTCAATAGGTCAATAAATATCTTCAATAATAATAATAAAATGCTAGATATATTCTGATATGACGACATAGCCATGTATAATTTCTTGACTAACGATAGTTTTGAAAATCTCCGTCAGACGGCACATGATCACTAAATCATCTTCTTACAAAAGATTTAAATTCGAAGTCTCAAGTTTAAAAATAAAAATTACTTTTTCACTCTTCTACAGAGCATATCTGACTATGATATTTAATTTAATTAACGGCTAAACTAATTTTTATTTAAATCGAGAAGGTAATTACGTAAACATTTAAAAATAAATGAGAGATTGCAAAATTATAATGAATTATTTTTTTTTTCAATCCTATTTACAGTATATCAGGCTATATATAACCACTTCAGGTGAGATATGATCACATCAGTAAATTTTTTTACAAGATTTACTGAAAAAATATTGATTTATACTCATTTTCACTATATGAATGCGAATACTTATTTTCATTAATATTTTATTAAGTGGAAATGGAATAAAGAAAGATAGTATGAACGATAAATTTTTTGGACTTAACATAAAAATTCTCTGCAACAATCACTCGTCAAAAATATATGTATAGATATCCTTTGTAAAAGAAGTAAAGAATTTAGTCAACAAAAATGAAGTTAAATTAAAGATAGGCTGTGTATATTAGAATGAAATTATCTGTTTTCTAATTCAAAGTCACGCTTAATTTGAACAAAAAATGGTGATTAAATGACTCTTCTGTTCCAGTGTTTCCGTAAACCTTAACTTATAATTCGAAGTGTATATTTCTTGCATTCTATTTTTTTTTTATTTCTGTTCGTTAACGCTTTATATTAGTTTTCTTGATGGTACGACGCTGATTGAGCATACAAAGCTCTTGATTTGGGGTTGATTAATTTGCACAGTCAATCGGAGATGGACAAGCCTCAAGCTCATCTCGTTGATTTGCTATCAGCGTGCTTGAGACCATCAGTATTATATCCTTTGTGACTATAATACGACAGCTTTGTAATAAGTTTGTTGAGTCTTAAGATTTTCAAAACTTTTCAAAATAATCATTTCATATCAGTAACAATTTTGTTACAGTCGAAAGTCGGATTTTAGTTTTCCAAAAGTCTTTAGAAACTACAAGAAGCAATTTTTGACGTGATAACGTCTTATAAATTGATGAACACCAGCAACACACATGAAAAATAGTAACGTTCCGCGTAACGTTCCACCTGAGCCTGTGCGTGCAAGCGAGAGCGCGCAACGAGCGATAGAGAGGCACGATAAAACAAACGATAGAGAGGCCTAAGCGTTGTATTGGCTTGTGACACACATATCTCTCTTCTCGCGTGACGTCAGAGCTAGCAGTTTGAATATTGTTCTATAACTAATTGTTCGTGAATATTTAAAAAAATTACTTAAATTAAATTTGCAAAAACTGTAAATAATATTTGAAAATTAAAAATGAATGTTTATAACCAGTTTTAAAAATATTTATGTCAAATTATATCAAATTATTATTATTGATAATTCGTCCGAATTATTTTTTCAGTTGAAATTATCTCTAATGACAAATTCTACGAATAAAAAAATAATTGTTTATGCGCGGAAGGTTCCGGCAAAAAAATTATTATAAATATTAGTGCAATTTGCAAGTGGTCTAGGCCAGACAGCCAATAATAATTGTAAATATAGTAAATTTACAATTGAAATAAATATATTATTGATAATATTAATAATTAATATTAATTATGAATAAATAAATTAATAATAAATATAAACAATAAATTAATAAAATAATAATAAAAAATAATTAAATAATTAATATTAATTATTATAAATAATAATAATTATATCAATTATCAAATTATTATATCAATTTTTAATTATCAATGTATTAATAGTATTAAAGTACTTACTTATTCTTTGTTAAAATAATTTTTAAATATTTAAAATTTTTAAATTTTCAAATACAAAACAATGATAATTCAGTGATAATAATTCAATTAAATTTATAAAAGTATGCAATTTTTCATCAATGTTTCTTTATGACGTTATCACGTAAAACTATCGTCCGTAAACCGACTTTACAGACAACCAATTTTTTTTTTTCTTAAAAGACCAAAAAACATCAAGCTGTCACATCAACAGTTAAAAAGCAAGCGTTGGAGATGTAGAACATTTTGAAAAAATAATTTAGAATATGTCAAGAAAAAAAACTATAATTTGCTGTCATGTAACTCGTTTAAGAATATTTTTGGGAAACGTTAGAGAGACCAATTGAATCTTATTCCTCAGGGATATTCGATGAACAGGCAAAAGAATTTAACGAGAAGTTAAATTACCGTTTTTCTCGTACGACACGGCTCGTTGAAGGCACATTCCCATTGGTTTTCTCATGCCCCATTAAACATTTTCAGCTCCACTACGAATTTTTTCTGACAATACTTTTATATACAAAAGTACACTAGATATTTGATTTACTTGGTTTATTGTCAATTTATCCGAGAAAAAAGGAGACAAGAGAAAAGGTTATCTCAACGAGGTTGGAAATAAATTAAAAAGCCTTATTATAACAAGTAATTACTTTTTTATGATATTTACTAAACCAACTGGATAATTGCAGCAGGAATAAAGTATTTGTTCCAAACAGTGTGCAATTAAATGTTTAATTCATGATTTATAAAATATTCTCTATCGTTTTAAGCTGTCGTTTTTTTTTTTTTTTTTTCAGTGAATAGTGAAAATTATTAAGTGCTTTAAAGAATTTTATTATTTCTACCAATGAAATCTTTCAACCTGCTTTATGTTGAAGAGAAATTAAAATACTGTAATTAATTAAGTTTTACAATAAATTCTTTACGGTAGATTTTTTATTTTCATCAAAAACTTATGAGATGTTATTGTAAATAATTGAGTGTCTAATAACACATGTATTTAATGTAATTACAAATTTTATATTCAAGTATAAATTAAAAAAATGATTGTATAAAAATAAAGAAAAATAAAAGGTGGACAGTTTTTAGCAAAGAGAAGTTGAGTGGGCGTAAAATTTAAAAAGTACATATACACTCAAGTTTATTTCGATTCTCTGGGCAATAAATATTTATGCGGATTGTGATGCATTAAAGAAAAAGTAATCTAGCTGTTAAAGAATTGAGAAAAGTTTCTACGCTGAATAAATATAACGAACAACAACAATCACGATGGCACTGGCTTCTTCTCTACTCTGTTGGATATATTAGAATGGATCATTTTAAAGCTCTGTGATATTTAGTCTCAATGCAATTGTCTTCTTTTAGAATTTTAGTTATGGTTTTACTGAGAATCTGCCGTCAACATTAGCTGCCGAAAATGATGAATAATGAATAAAAAAAATTTTACATAATTCCGAAAAAATATTTTTTATCACAACATACATTGTTTGAGTACTTTTGAGATCATTTTGAAAAATAATATTGCTATGACAAAATCAAATATCAATAATCCGAACAAAAACAGTTTCACTGTAAAAAAATCGCGCCAAGTCCACGTTCATAAGACTATT